GAAAAACACTTCAGACTGGGGAAAATGTTTGCCTAACAACCACAGATGTACAGCCAGTACTACAATGTAAACATATAGACAGAAGTAAATTCATGGGATAGAATGATCCAAAGTCCACAACTACATGCAATTCAGAATCTATAGCAGCACTAGCAAATCAAATGTGAGAAATTTGAGTTTCTGAATGTGCAAAGTTAAATGTAGCTAATAAACGTACATGTGCAGTAATTTCTGTACAACACCTGCCAAAGGGTTTCTGCAAAGATCTCACTGAGGGAGTTCCAGAGTAAAAACATGGTAACCTGTCCAGGGCTTACCCCTCCTCCTGCCCAATTACCACTAGAGAGATAGGCACCAGCCCCCTGCAAGGGTAATTGGATGGATGGATGGATGGATGGATGGATGGATGGATGGATGGATGGATGGATGGATGGATGGATGGATGGACGGATGGACGGACGGACGGACGGATGGTTGCATGACCCTAACCTTCAGACTTCAAAGGAAGTCTGTGACCATTTGTAGTAAAATAGCTCAAAGTGGTGAGATGTACAGAAACCAGTGGCTTCATTAAACAATTGAAAACAATTCCTCAGTGCAACTTTCCTGAAACAAGTGAATTTTATTAGTTGATTTGTTCGATAAGCTGTTAATTCCTTTTAATTAATTTTTCTTCTTTATCTGAAATGCTGAAGATTTTTTCCCCCAATTTTTGTCCATTAAATTATTGTTTTGCTTTCCTGTACATTTGTTTTCCTGTTCCCCTGCCTTGTGTATCACCAATGTTGCACAAAACAAACTCACCTTGTCTTTTTTTTTATTAAAGTTGCAAATTAGTGTAATTTCCATTTCATTCACAAAAATGAAGCCTAATGGTTCCTGCTTCCTCTTCCTCATGATAATGTGACTTGTTCTGTGTGCACTCTTTCTTGTAAATATGATTTAAAAAGAAACTAAGCAAGCAAACATCAAGACTAAAAGTGGAATTGTAAGAGAATGGGACTAAAAAGACTCGAGCATCGGAGGATCTTGATGACATTAAGAAATCCCTGGACTTTCTTTCTGAGGACATGGCAGCTATACGGGTCTGTCAAAAAAACATTTTGGATCTTTTTGGTAAAAGAAGTGAAGTTGTTGAGACTTCTTACATGCAGAAACAGCAAAGGACAAATGGATGGCTGTATTGGAGAACCGAGAGGCCAATTTGGAGCAATACAATAGGATAAATGATGTGATCATCACTGGACTTAGAGTCAAGCCCTGTTTGTATGCCAACACAGTGGCTGCACCCAGTCCTGCTGGTGAACCATCAGTTGAAGCGCTTGACTCCACAGAGAAACAGGTGGCTTCTTTCCTCCGGACCAAGGGGATAGAGGTGGACTGTGGTACTGTGGAAGCATGCCACCCGCTTCCGAGAAGGGGAAAAGAAGATAAACCTGCCATTATCATGAGATTCACAAAGAGGAAACACAGGGTTGCTTTGGTAAAATAAGGCAGATTGTTGAAAGGATCCAACGTATTTATTAATGAGCACTTGACCAAGAAGAATGCTGATATTGCCAGAAAGGTTCGGTTTCTGAAAAAGCAGACAATAAGTTCTCCATTATACATTTGAACAGTAGAAGCTTACATGCGAATTTTAACCACATGAAAGACTGTTTAAGCCAATTTAATCAACCTTTCAGTGACATAACTATTTCTGAAACCTAGCTTACTTCTGAGAAGGGAGCTGATTTTGAACTAGATGGTTGTATTAATAGAGAGGGGCTGGAGGAGTAGCTGTATGTGGACAGCAGTCTTAGATATAATCTAATTGAAAACATGACTAATGTGGTTGAAGATCATTTTGAGTGCATAACAGTTGAAATATTTATGATTTTTTTTATTGTTAGTTGTATTTACAGGGGTCCTGGTTCTAATATGGACGTCTTTACAGAATGGTTTGAGAAAACCTACACAGCTACAACTCCAAAAAACTATTTTATCTGTGGGGACTTTAATATTGATCTACTGAATGTAAACAATCACAAATCGACTGAAGAGTTTATTAATACTACATGCAGTCTGAGCCATTTTCCTCAAATTACAAGACTTATCAGAACCACATCTAACAGTACAACATTAATAGATAACATATTTACAAATTTAATACATAATACAATAAGTGGATTATTAGTAAATGATATTAGTTATCATTTACCTGTTTTTGTTTGATAACTGCCACATGAAAGATAAGAGTAAGAGTAATCCAATTTCTAAAAGATTAAGAACTGAAGAATCTATAAAAACATTTAAAGATGAATTATCTAAACAAAACTTGGAGTCAGTATTGAAAGAAAATGACATGGATGAAGCATATGATAATTTTCTGAATATTTTTAAATCATTATATGATAATTGTCCCAATACAAAGTTTATTCATAAAAATAAACATTCAGAAACTCCACGGATCACAAAGGGACTGCAAAATACCTGTAGAAAAAGAACAAACTATACAGAGACTTCATAAAGCATAGATCCATTGTGGCTGAAAATAAATACAAGAAATATAAGAATAAATTAACTGCTATTTTACGGATAGCAAAACAAGATTATTATAGTAAACAGTTGGATATAAACAAAATAATGTTAAAGGTGTCTGGAATATTTTAAAGAGTGTCATCAGGCACACTAGCTTTCCTCAACACTTTGAAAACAATGATAAAAACCTTAATAGCATAGAAGAGCTAATTCATAATTTTAATAAATATTTTGTAAGTGTGGGGTCTAAATTGGCTGAAGAAATTCCAGAGCCCACAGTTTATGAAACACGAAATGACACATTAGTTAGTAGAAATCCAGATTCCATGGTTCTCACAGCAGTGAAAGGAAAAGAAAATACAGATATTATTTGAATCAGGTGTTACTACTACATTTATTTATTACTAAATAAATGTAGTAATAATAAATAAATGTAGTAATAATAAAAGGTCAACTGACTGTAATAATAATAAAGAAGGTGATTGTGGAAATTATTCAGTCGCTAACATATATCTGTAATCTGTCAAGTCAAACTGGTACCTTTCCATAAAAAATGAAAATTGCAAAAGTCATCCCACTATATAAATCTGGGAATAGACATGATTTTACAAATTACAGGTTTGTTTCTTTACTTCCACAATTCTCCAAAATTTTGTAAAAAATATTTGTTGCCAGATTGGAAATATTCATTAATAAACACCAACTACTCGCTGAGTCAGTATGGATTTAGGTCCCATAGATCCACAGTAATGGCAGTTCTTCAATTAATAGAGGCTACCAGTTCACTAGATAAAAAGAAACCTGTTATTGGGGAATTTATTGACTTAAAAAAAGCATTTGATACAACTGATCATGAAATACACATTGAGAAAGTCAAGCGCCGTGGTCTAAGAGGAGTAGTTTTGCACTGGATGAAAAGTTATCTCTGAAACAAGCAACAATTTATACAAATGAGTGATCTCCAGTCCTCATGCTTGAACATCGTTTGTGGTGTTCCCCAGGGCTCCAAATTGGGCCCAAAGTTGTTTATTTTATACATAAATTATATACCCTGGTGAAAAATTAGTGTACTAAGTATGTTCAATTTTAACATTCTTGAGTATATTTCAAGTATACTTAGAATTAGTATACTTAAAGTGTGACTTTTTTGAAATACTAATTTTGTACTTAGTGTACTTAAGTAGTATTTAAGTAGTACTTAAACACACTACTTAAAGTGTACTAAGTATACTTCAACATACATTTTTTGGACACTAAGTGTACTTTAAGTGTACTTATTTTTATGTACCAAAAACGTGCTTGATTAGTATATTTTGAGTGTACTATTTTAGTGATTGAATTAGATTTAACATATACTTAGAATGTATTTTAAGTATATTGTAAATACATATTTAATATATTAGTAGTGTGACTACAGTATGCTGCAATTACACTTTTGGTTTATTATTATTGCTAATGAAGTACACTTTTTAGTTACTTAATGTCTTTTATTATTATTCTTTGCCACTTTGTACATTACATGCTTCATACACACACAATTACATTGTGTATTCAATATATTACCATTTTGGTAACACTTTATTTGATGGGGTGTGCATAAGACTGACATGACACTGTCATGAACATAAAACCTTTCATTCAACTTTTAAAGCAAATTCTCATTAAAATTGTCATTATTTACTGAATGACACTTCATGTCACTGTTGGTATGTTCCTAACAGGAGTTCTGTCATGTTTATGACAGTATCATGTCAGTCTTATGCACACCCCGTCAAAGTCTTACCCACATTTTTTCAAGAGCCAATATACTGAAACAAAATTGTACAAATTGTCAATATATTCAAAGTTTACAGACAACATGCTTATGAAAATTTGCACAATAAAACGATAGGTACACTTTAGAGGAAATGTGAAAAATGTTTCACGAAGGACAGAGTATTGTTTTGATACAATGTCACAGTATTCCAGTATTACTGCAGACAAACTGACATTTCTCCTTCCTAAGAACAGTGAGGATCAACGACAGAACATTCCCATTCACTGGACCACTGCACTTTACAGAAACCTACAAAAAAGAACAATAGAGCAATTAAACAGAGAAAGTATTTGTATTTTAAAGAGAACAGAAAAATGGCAAATAAAAAAATAATACTTACAATTTCAAGACGTGGACTCGCCATGTATGTGACATCATCAGAACTGATGATTATTGGGACCAGATGCCTGGGGTGGAAAAACATTTCTGGGTGTCTTCTTTGTCTGTTTATGTTAGAAGTAGAAAAAAAAATGGTCAGTAATATCATAGAGTCAGTTGATGTTGTCATTAACTATGAAGCTGTTTTAAGTGTGGACTTAAGGAGACAAACTACCTTAAAAATTTTCCATCCATGATCTGAACATGCCGATTCTTGCAGGGTGGTGAGGGGGCTGGTGGTGCCCATCTCTAGCAGTCATCAGATGAGAGGCAGAGGTTCACCCTAGACAGGTCACCAGTCCATCACAGGGCCCTGAAAGCCAACAACAAATAAAATGTATGAAAGATAAATGTTAGATTAACCAGGGGAAAAATTCTGTCCAGTTATCTTTAAATTAAATCATGTTTATTAAGCACTTGGTGTTGGTAACACACCAGTTTTTGTTGTTGAAAATGTAGCTAGCTCCTCATTGGAAAAACAAACTTACATCATGAAGACGATGTGGAGGTTCATCCTCAGAGCTGGTTGGTGATCTGGTGGAACCAGAGCCTCTTCTGAGACAGAAAGTCTTTAGGTTTTCTAGCACCCGATTTCTCTGGCTTCCTCTTTCATCTTTATTTGCTTAGTTAGACAGCAAACATATGTTGAAGATAAAATCATTGATGAACAAGTTATAACAACAACCTCACAATATCAAGGTCTCTTTGTTATATGGAGCTTAATTAAAACCAGGTTAAGTTTATGAATAAAAGTATAAGTCGCAACAAACAGAGCCTCCATGCAGTTATAACATGAAGCTGAATATGATTGCTATAGTAATAATCATACAAGTCACAATAAAATTGATAAAATAATTATTTATGAAACCAACGTAAGTTATATATCTTTACTGCACTGTTTATAATTAAACGAAGATAATTA